TATAAATAAAAGGTTGAAATATATATATATATATATATATATATATATATATATATATATATATATATATAATGGTTTTTTTTCAGATGTTTGAACAACTGACTGTCTTCGTACAGTTAGCAAAATATCTCATGAACCACTTAACAGATTTTAGTGAAACTTTCAGAAAATAATCACAGGATCATCATCTACAACTGATTAACTTTTGAAGTCAACTAAATTCAAGAAGATTGCCACATTTTAATGAACTTAAAAACAGGAGGGGACATGGTTAAATCAGCCACTTTTACAAATGTCTAAGTATAATTGGAGGTGTTTGTAGGTAATACATGGGCGCAAATTCAAGTCATAAGCATTTTGTGCTTGTAAATAAGTTGTGTGTAAAATAAAGTTGTGGTTTATGCTTGTGTAGATAGGAATTTGTACATGTAAAAAAATTGTATTTATAAAAATTACATGTTACAAATCATTTTTGTTAAGGTCTATTTACAGATATGCTACAAATAAAAAAACCATGTGTAAAACTCTGCCTGTGCGTTTCATTTTACAAGTACGAATCTTGACCAGGGCGGCACGGTGGCTCTGTTGGTAGAGCTGCTGCCTCTCAGGGAGATGGTTGATGGTTCAAATCCCGGCCGGGGGCCTTTCTGGGTGGAGTTTGCATGTTCTCTCCGTTCATGCGTGGGTTTTCTCCAGGTACTCCGGTTTCCTCCCACAGACCAAAAACATGCATGTTAGACTGACTGGTAACTCTAAATTGTCGGTTGTTTGTCTCGTTTGTCTCTATGTGTCCCTGTGATGGACTTGCAACCTGTCCAGGGTGTACCTCGCCCCTCGCACAGTGATTGCAACCCCCATGACCCAAAATGAAGGAAGCGGATAAAACATGATGGATGGATATATATATAAAAAATAAACAAAAACAGCTATGGTAAATGGACTGCACTTATATAACACCTTTCTATCTGATCAAGACACTCAAAGCTCTTTACAACAATCTGTGCCTCATTTACCCATTCATACAGCTCTATACTAGATCTCTACAAAGCTGATTCAACAAATCATTCTAATGAGCCTAATCAGAGCTTTATCACATTCATACACTGATGGGACACACATCAGAGGCAGTGAGGGGTTCAGTGTCTTGCCTATGGACACTTCAGCATGTGACTGCTGGTGGATTCGAACCCCCAACTCTCGCATTGGAGGACGACTGCTCTAACCACTCAGCCACAGCCGCCTCTTAGCCCCCTAGCTAGTTTGTAAAGCGATGCAAAATACTAAAAGCAGGAACATGTCTGTGTTGGTTGTTGCCAGCAATTTATCAGATGTTTGAAGGCACTTAGAGAGGTCAAGGTCAAGAGCTTCAGATCTATCTGTAAGATATTCCAGGAAACAGGAGCAGAGGAGGAGAAGGTCCTTTTGCCTAGTTCAGTTTGCACTGAGGGAACACTGCAGATAATAATGTCCTGAGAGCGCACGCTGTAGCTGCACTCACACAGAGACATGTAGGAGGAGATGTATGAAGGCAGCAGACCAAGAAGTGATTTAAAGATGAAAATGTACCAGTGGGAGAGTCTGCGTGAAGCTAATGATGACCAGTTAACCAGTGAATACTGGGTGCAGTGGTGGGTACGATAATCACAGCCAGTTATGAATCTTAGTGCACCGTGATAGACAGCATCCAACATCTGCAACATCCAACATCTGCAGGGTTCTTGTAGGAGCGTTCATGTAAATAATGTCACCGTAATCAATGGAGGGAAGGAAAGTCACAGAAACGAGGTGTTTTCTAGCATTCAGGGTTAGACAGGATCTGTTTCTGAAAAAGAAACCCAGTTTAACTTTCAGTTTCTTTACCAAGTTTTTGATGTGGAGGTTTGGGAGGACCAGCATGACCCCCCTACACACCACGGCTGGAGGACTCGGGGGCAGGGCTCCTCACCTCAGCTGGGCCTTGTAGAGCGTCAGAGACTGGGTCGTGCTGCGGTCCTGCTCCAAACACAAGATGAAGGTTAACTTGAGGTTAACTCGTATGATCCGCTGCCGGAGCTGCTGCTGACAGGAGGAGGGACTCGCAGAGGAACCCACACCTGAGCCAGAGGCCACGTCGCCGCCTCCTGAGTCCAGCTTGTGTTTCTTGCATGGCCCGATGGCAGCGAGAGCTGTGAGGTTGGGGTCTCGCTGTCAGATCTCAGCTCGTCCTGCTGATGCCTCTTTTTGCCCTCTGCTCGAGCCGAATCTGTTCTGGATCTTCCTGCCAGGCCCAGCTCTTGGCGGCCTTCAGCAGGATCTCTCGCTCCTGCTCGTCTTTCCTCTCCTTCTCAATACGCTCGAGCTGCTCGAAGAATATCAGCTGGGAGCGAACAGTCATCGTCTGCTCGTAGTGATCTTCGTCCTTTCCGTCATCCGAGCGGTTATTTCTCATTCTGATGGTTAATGTATCCTTAAAATTAAAACTTTAACAACATTTGTAAATGGTTGCCAACGTGTATTTGTTTACCAACAAAAACGGCCAAAATGACGGGAAATGGGTCAAATGATGTATTGGTATGTATCTATGCTTTATTCAACATTTGTTGAATAAAGTCAGAAGCTAAAAGTGCTCTGTTTATACATTCCTGCATTTGAAAATCACATTTCAGTACATTTGGAAAATTACTGGATTTTAAAATTGCACCACGTTAGTTCTTTTTTACGTACCAAAAAAACAATGATTCCTCCAACACTAAACAAATTATTATTGTTACCCCATATACTGAGTTTGTAAAGAACAGCTATACACAATGATGTTGTTTTTTTAATGTACTTTACAAACTATAAGGGCCAAAGACAGTTAAATGACAATAACCAGCCTAACTTGACAAAAACCCGACTGTCCACCAGATGGCGCCATAGTAAAACAAATAAAGTAACAGGCCGTCTTTTTTTATCATTTGTCCTATTTATTTAATTAATTTTAGCAACTGAAAAATAAAAGGTTTAACCTAATGGATATATGAATTAAATACCATCATTCATTTCATTCATTAGGCACATTTGTGCACAACAATAAATATCTCCATGGGACTCATTTACTACACCGTGTTGAGGATGAGAAAATTTGCGCATGCGCACATGCAGCCTCTGCCGTTAGCATAGATAGCCGGTTAGCTTACACCAGCCATAAAGTGTGTGTCCCAATCCAACGGCTGCATCCTTCGAAGGACCCGGCCTACCTGGTCGATGTAGGCCGGGTCCTTCAAAGACCACGTAGACCGGAAGTCAGGGACAGGTTGCGAACATGACCCTGTGCAAAGATATAAACAGTGTTGATATATATGACCCTGTGTAGTTTTGAACCGCGCATGCGCAGTTTGTTTCATGTTTGGCCTGAACGAGGCATGCGCGGCAAAGATTGACTTCCTGTCAAGATGGCGCTGGCCAGAGGGTTAACGGGTGTGTGGAGGACATGCAGCGGCGCGTTAGCCCGGCACCCTCTCCTCTCTGGCTCCGTCCGAGCACAGGGCTCTGTTAGCGGGGAGGTGCTGCCTCAAACCTCGCTGACCTCTCCCCCGTGGGCGAAGGACATAATCCACGTGTCCCCGGAGGAGGAGCGGCGCCGACATGCCGCGGTGGTGAGCACCGTGCAGCAGCTGGTCCAGGGGCAAGACTTCGGCCGGCTGTTCGCAGTGGTGCACTTCGCGAGCCGCCAGTGGAAAGTCACCAACGAGGACTTGATCCTGATCGAGAACCATATCGATGCGGAGTGCGGGGAGCGGATCCGGATGGAGAAGGTGCTGCTGGTCGGGGCGGAGGACTTCACCCTGGTCGGTAGGCCTCTGCTGGCAAAGGATCTAGTCCGGGTCGAAGCCACCGTGATCGAAAAAACCGAGTCGTGGCCCAAAATGAACATGCGATTCTGGAAGAGACATCGGTTCCAGCGCAAGAAAGTCATCATCCAGCCGCAGACGGTGTTGAGGATCAACACCATCGAGCTCTGCCCCAGACTCTGCTGATGGACTGGACCTGGGTCAGAGCAGACCTCCTTCACTCTGCTGATGGACTGGACCTGGGTCAGAGCAGACCTCCTCCATTCTCCTGCTGCAAATAAACTCAGAGCACGAGTCCGTTTTATTAAACATGGAGTGTTTCAGGATCGCAGGTCCTCCAAACATCTGGATTTCTAACAGACGGAGTGATGTTTCTGTCTGTGTCCGTGTAGATCTCATGAAACAGCTGATTTCAATAAAAGTTTTCTTTGGGTTTACATCTACAGCTGGTAAACTGGAGTCAACCTGATTCAAGATGGCCGCCATAACTTGTCAACCTCAAGCATAAATAAATAAATAGCTGCAAGTCAGATATGAGCTAAAGTTTGGCGGGTCGCAGCCGAAATGGACCCAACGAAGAGCTCGTCACATAAAATGATGCAAAATGTTTTCAAGGTTTAACAAATGTCTTGAACTCATTTCTTGTAAGAGCTTACATTCAAACTGCAGGTTCATTTTGTTTGCAGCAGAATAAAAAATAACCCTTGAATTGAAAACATGAACTTCAAGACTACACATGGAAAATGTCTCTTTAGTCACATTTATCATTGATTTAACATTTTCACACTTAAAATCTATTTTCAAAAATCAACAGCGAGCCTTATAATCTTTAATGCTCCTTATAGTCTGTAAAATACGGTACCTTCTGAGGAAAATAAAAATCACACGGTAGACCGAAGATGCAAAACATAGTTTTTATTTCAAAAGCTGATTGAATCTAGAAAAGGAAAAACTGCTCCCAGGATTTGTGAAGGCACTGTTGAACATTTCTGCTCAGCGGTAACGACGTGGTCCAACAGTGTGGACGGGTTACAAACAGGTTCCTATGTGGAGGCTGTAAACATCCCACACGGCACAAAACTGCCCCTAAAACCCAATCGGCTCGGAGAAAACAAAGTCCTGTAAACTCAAAACACTTTGTATTCCAGTGTAAACCTCTGAAGCCACAGATGTTGGTGCTGATGTTTAAGACGGGCGGTGTCATTACTAATCACAGCTTTTTCAGATTCACAAAAATCAAACGCATCTAAATGTTAGGCTGCTCTAAAGATGAACTTCACCAAAACCTACGCACCTGGAGGTTGAACGAACCAACATTTTCTTCACGACGAGCTCCAACATGGTCTTTCAGAGGCCCCGTGGTTCCAACTCTAGTTGACTTTGAAAATGTACCGAGACCAATCAGCCCCTGCACACCAGAGGAAGAGCCAGCGCTCGTCCAGCCCGTCGCTTCTGGTTGGCACGTGTCAATTTACAGACGTTATCCAAAAGAAACGAGACGGACAGGGACGTGCGTCCACAGAGAAGACACCTGGCGTGTAAACAGGACTACAGAAGACACCTGCTGGAGTTTGACAACAAATCAGGCCGTCCGCTACGCTTCAGTGCATCCCACTGTCCAGAGGAACCAACGTAATGGAGGCGACGTTCAGTCGAGGGTGAATTCACAGCGGTGATCCAACCAAGCCTGAAATTCAAGATGTTTCAATAAACTGCTCAAGTATTTATCTTTAATTGCAAAGGTAGAGTTCTCCCTGGGGTTTATAAAGTACAGGCATTCAGTTTTACAGACGTAAAGAAAATGTGTTTTTGATTCACGGTTCGTGTCAAATGTAGAATTTTCTAACGAAGGGACTAACTTTTTCATTTCAAAACAAAATTTCAAGAATTATCTTTAAAAGTCCAATCAAAATCGTCCAAAAGACCGACTCCTCTTCCTGAAAGTTGTCTTCTGTCCGTGCAACTTGCTGTCCCTTCCGCTCGTCCTCTGGTGTGTACGAGCCTTTATCAAACGGGTCCGGGGCCACCGACTGATCGTAAAACACTCGCATCTCAAACTCGCTCTCCTGGTGAAATGGGTGGCCATAAATGCCGATGCCCACAGGCCGCGCAAAGTCGCCCGGGACGACCACCACGTCATGGCCGCAGGTAACCGACTGCAGCTTGTAGGTGTCAAAGCTAGGGTGGAGGGTTTTATCGGACACGTAGAGGTCTGCATCTCCCTTGAGGCTCTGCATGTGCAGGATAATTCTCCCGTCGTGGTTGAGGCGCAGGTAGCTGTAGTTCCCGGCTCCGATGTGGCCCTGGACCACGTGGAGCAGCACCCACTCTTCAGGAACGCCGCCGTCGTCGTCTCCCGAGGGGCTCAGGAAGCTTCTGGCCTGCGACACCAAGAGGATGAGGACCAGTGCTGTGCTGCCCAGCGTCATGGTGAAGGCATCGATCAGTCCGTCAGACAGCCTGAAACACACGGAACAGGACTCGGATAACTGCACATGAACATCACGCCGTTTGTTCACAGCCCAGACCTCTGACTGGACGAGCTTTACGAACGACTACAACCCAAACCTACACGTTTTCAAAGCTTCGTCCTCAACAGCGTTGGTCGCATTTGAGAAATGATTCATCTGTTTTTTGTTGTTTTTTGTGTAGAAAACCCATTTGTCTCCATTAAACAACTTTTAAAATAAATTAAAAAGAACAACATTTGGATCTGCGAGTCACGTCGAGCTGAATAAAGAACCTGTTAAGTGAAGAACAATAAATGTCTTCGCACCAAAGACCTAACTTTACAGTTTAAACGTGTTTAAACAGTTTTTAACTCAGCTGGGTCGTAAAAAGATACGAGTTTTGACTTCCCCCATGATGCGCCGTGGAAGTCCAGAGGTGAAGAGACAAGTTGTCTGGAGTTAAAACACTTTAATAAACTTTTGCAAAGACCTGTTTGTCTATAATCAGACAGTGAAGACTAAAGGTTGTAGCCAAACTCGACCAGAGTCAACCTGCACAGAATTGTTTTTAACTTTTAATACACTGTATTTGTTGTATTATACTTGACACTGCAAGTACTACTGTGAGAGAGAAGTTATTTAAAACAAAACCACACAGTAGAGCCTGAGTTTAAAAAGAAACGATCGTACTTCCGTGTCCAATGATCAAACGCTGCATCATCCAGCAAAAAGGAGTAAAACTAAAATAAAATAAAATATATAAAATCATTTTGCTTTGATTATCGAGTTGATTGTCCACCAGCTCAAGAAAAGTTAAAAATAAACAGCAAGCTGTCTCCTACTGTGACCTTTGACTTTTAAACATGCACATTTTTTAAACATTAACTAAACTCATAACTCAACTCAGGCTCATAAAATGACTTTAATAAACATTTTCAGTTTGAAGTTTAATTAAAACAGAGTCAAAGTTATGCTAACAGGCCGACAGCTAACAATGGGAGCTGAGCAGATCAGCTTAAAGTCCAGTAAATGTACAACAACAGCTGAAGAAGTGACGAGCTGCGCCTTCAGCTGCTTGTTTGGAGAAATTCAAGCTAACGCTGGGATTAGTAGCTAACAGCTAACGTCACGTAGCTAACGCTTTCACGTTGTTACGGAATCAAATGTTCACCTGTACAAAGATAAAACACGAAGGAACTCCGAACTAGACAATTAGGTTCCAGTCGAGTTACCAAATGTGCGGTCGAGCTGCTCGACATGACAAACTACTTACACAGCTGTCGTTTCTTAACAGGCATCTTGTAGCAGAGCAGCAAAGTTCTTCTTCTTCACCTCCTCGTGTTCCGTCGACACTGCAACAGGTGTGGCTGCAGCGCCCCCTGCAGGTCGACACTGCAACAGGTGTGGCTACAGCGCCCCTGCAGGTCGACACTCCAACAGGTGTGGCTGCAGCGCCCC